GACCGAGCGAACCATCTTAGCTTTTTTATTCTGTTCTATTTCTGTTATGCAATGCATCAAATCACAATTCGATATGATTTAAAGTAAAAACTTTTCTGAATCTTCAAATAAAATAATATTTTGAAAAGTAATTTATTCTATTATCTTGAATACATCGAAAAACAAATGTAATGCAAAGTGGACACCCATGGCTCAGTTTTGACTCTGTCTATGAAGCCTCTAAGAAATAGTGAAATAATAAGACGATTCGGGAATCAATGAACTCCACAAACTAAAATGGAGCTCACCAAATCTTCTGGTAATGGGAGGAGAATATCCTAACTCGTAGCCTGCTTACCTGCAAAATTTATGCCTACATTGATATGCATCAATGTAGGTTCCCACGAAGAGAATGTTAGTACACCATGGTGGTACTCAGTAAGTAAAGCAATCCTTTCACTAAAGCTGGAACGAGACTCTGAAAGAAGTATGTACGCATGATAAAGAAAATTCTAAATGTTTATGATAAAGAGTTGAAATAGACAACTCATATATCTATTGTAAAATTCATATTGATGTCGTTCATGAAAATTATCTCTTTTCTTTTCACTTCTTTTCTGAAAAAAATATAAAATTCAAATAGATAAATGTATAAACTTTCTCGGAACAGTCCTTGTAAATTTTCTAAAGCATTTTCTTTTCTTTTCTGGGGAGTTATATTGATTCTGACATTCTTTCTGATTCTGATTCTGAAAATGTCACCATATGATTGGTATAGTGGACGATCCCAGCCCGATCGCCTGGACCTCATTCCTGTGGTGCCTCATAGTTCAAGGTTCTAGCATGCTCGCGTTCTTGTGCCTTACTAGGGCACTTCTGTCATAGTGCCCGAACCAACGGTACACTAATCTCCTACTCTGGCACGAGTAGTTTTGGGGTAACATAAACCACTAATGGCTATGAACCCTTCTTAGAGATCTAATGGAACTCCCATGTCACGACCCGGATTTCCCACCCTCGGGAGTTGTGATGGCGCCTACTAACGGAGCTAGGCAAGCCAAACATTTAAACATTTTCGGATGACAACACAACAATAATAAAACAACGAGTCTTTAAATAAATGCGGAAGCCTTTAAAAAAAAGGGACATAATAACTGAAAACCCAAAATGCGGATGTTTAATATTTCTCTACCCAAGACTGGAGTCGCTATCTCACGAACTACTAACGAGTGCTACAAACAAGTCTGAATAGAAAATGCCTAAATGTCTGTCTCGGTACAATGAAGACAAACTGAAAACATAGAAAGGGACTCCGGCCTATGAACGCCAGCTAGGCTACCTCGTAAGTCCCTGGACTGAAGTCAGCTCCCGATCAATATCCTACTGCAGTGGTCCAAAAGCTGCTCTGGTACCGTGATCTGTGCAAAAGAGCACAGAAGTGTAGCATCAGCACAACCGACCCCATGTGCTGGTAAGTGCCTGGCCTAACCCCGGCGAAGTAGTGACGAGGCTAGACCGGACTACCAAACAAACCTGTGCAGTCAATATATATATATATGCAATAAAAGGAAAGAACAAAGAAATTAAACAGTTAAGAGGGAGGGAAGCATACTATGGGGGAGTATAGTCCGGATATGAAGTCAACAATTTAAATAAGAAACAGGGCAATAACAATAATTAATGAGAGCAGGAAAATCAACTGTTGCACGGCATCAACCTTCGTGCTTTTGCTCTCATCCTCACCAAAAGCAATCAAATAAAGTGCACGGCATCACCCTTCGTGCTTTCCTTCACGTAACTCTCATATCATGGCACGGAATGATGATCCTTCGTGCAATTAGTATCAAATCAGAGCACGGAATGTCCCTTCGTGCAGAAATAATCAAAACATGGCACGGAATGACCCTTCGTGCGAATATAATCAAAACATGGCACGGAATGACCCTTCGTGCAAATATAATCAAAACATGGCACGGAATGACCCTTCGTGCATTATCACTCTTCCTCACCCAACCAGTAATCACAACCAAACGGGGCGAGGGGATAAACAAATAATAAGAAATGTCCCGGCAAGGGAATTACACAATTAACAGCTAAATCCCGGCAAGGGAGCAACAACAATACTTTCTATTTCGGCAAGGGAGATAATCCATATACTCAATCCATCCCGGCAAGGGATTAATCATATCTCTTTCTATTTCTTTCATTTCTTACTCAATAGTCCTTTTATCGTTCGAGCCAATGCTCCAAAGAATTTACAATTCATAATTAATCCTCATACACTCACATTGCATAGAATTCATCAATTAACATGGAAGAGTCATAACAACATCAGAATAAGTACAAACAAGGACCCACGGTCATGCTAGACACCGGTGTATAGATACTCGTCACCATGCCTATACACCGTACTCCATATTTAGCAATTAGCAAACAACACTCTAATCTATTCCTTCAAGCCAAAGTTAGATCAAACACTTACCTCGAATGCTCCAAACTCAACTCAATCCTCTAGTATAGCTTTACCCCTCGAATTCTCCACCAAACCGCTCGAATCTACTCACAAATTACTTAAATCAATTTGAATGCATGAAAATGAATTTCCCAAAGTTTGTTCAAAAATTCCCAAAATGCCCCCGGGCCCACGTGGTCAAAACCCGAGGTTCGAACCAAAACCCGATTACCCATTCCCCCATGAATTCAGATATATAAGTTATTTTGGAATCGAACCTCAAATTGAGGTCCAAAACCCCCAAATTTAGGAACCCTAGTTCTACCCTAAATTCCCAAATTCCCCCATTAAAATCCTTGGTTTGAAGTTGAAATTATGTTTAAGGATGTTAAGGAGTATAGAAAATCAGTTAGAAATCACTTACCAATCGTTTTGAAGAAGTAGAATCGTTTGGAAAATCGCCTCTTATGTTTTGGGTTTTGAAAAAGTGAAAAATGACTGAAAATCCCGACTTTATATACTGTACTGAAGACCCGGCGCGGACCGCACAAAAATGCCCCACGGCCGCGCCGAGGAA